GCATTTGTATCTTTCAAATTCGGACTTGTATTGCCCATTTGATATATATGGGAGCTATATCCAAATCTTAACCGATCTTGATAAAATTTGGCAAAGATATTTGTGAGCTGTATTTCATATATTTCCCTGAATATCGTTGTTACGGAGTGCATATTACGGTTGTGGGTAACAAATATAACAAATCGGATGAATAATATATATTGAAGCTATAGCTATATCTGAACCGATCTTCACCAAATTTGACATACTAGCTTCTAGACACAATTCGGTCGTAAGTGCCAAATTCCATCCCATTTGGACAAATATTAGACGTTTGGTGCACAATCCAAGGTAAATCGGACGAAGTTATATGGGAGCTATATTCAAATCTGAACCGATCTAGATAAAATTTAGCAAATGTATTTCTGAGCTGTATTTGATATATTTCCCTAAATATTGTTGTTGCATAGTGCATATTACGGCGGCGGTGGACAAAAATAACAAATCGGATGAACAATATATATGGGAGCTATAGCTATATCTGAACCGATTTCGTTCAAATTTGGCATACATATTTTCAGGCCTAATTTGTTTGTATATGCAAAATTCCATGCAATTCGGGCTGATATTACACGGTTGGTGCACAATAAAAGGCAAATCGGACGAAGATATATATGGGAGCTATATCTAAATTTTGATCGATTATCTCCAATTTCAATAGGGTTCGTCCTTGGGCCAAACAAAAGATCTTTGCAAAATTTCATCTGGATCGGGCAACAAATGCGACCTGTACTTTGTTTACAAAAATACATGGACAGACGGACAGACGGACGGACGGACATGCATAAATCGACTCAGAATGTGATTCTATGCAGATCATCAAAAGGAACTATGGGTCTATCTCGTTTCCTTCTGCCTGTTACAAACAAATGCACAAAGACATAATACCCTGACCACCTTGTGGTGTAGGGTATAAAAATCCACAATTTATGACCTCGGAAAATATTAAAAAAAAAAACCTTTAAAGCTTTAATTATCCTTAAATAATATTCTTAAAAAATTTAAAACGTACCTTTCATAATCTTTTAGAAAGAAACTCCTTAAAATCAAAGCTTGAAAAACATAATAAAAGTCCAATAATCTAAAAAGTTGTTGAAAAATGTCTTTAAAATATCAAAGGTACCCAAATACTTTCTCTCTTGAGGCCTCCTAAAGGCCCTCTGAGGGGAATTGATATTTTTAATTTTCCTTCTTTCTTATTCTTCATGTTCCAAACCATGGCGACCTCTACAAACAATTTACAAAACCTTCCAAAATGAAAACAAAACAAAAAACCATGAAACAAAAACATCCACCACCCACGCATGTAAATAAAAATTGCCGCTCTCTCTTACTCACATTCTCCCAGTAAGTAGACATGCGCATTGACGCACCGTGAAGGAAATGAGCATTGACAGGACCAAAGGATAACAGAGGAAAGTGTATGTTTACTCTGCAATAACAATATGCCACTGAGACAGTAGTATTTTTCATAGTTAATGGCATAGACCAAAAAATAATCGGGAAAAAATTAAACATTTTTTTTAACAAGAGAACAGAACTTCGGGAAGGAAATATTTTTATACAGAATTTTTTAAGAAGAAAAAAGTGTTGAACATTTTTAATTTTAAAATGGACTTTTTTACCAAATGAAGTGTAATTGAAAACTGTGTTATGTACAAATGAAGTGAAGAGGGTAAGGGAGAGCGAGAAAATCAATATAAAGTTGTAGAGTGCCACAAATGTTTCCTGCAGGCCAGACAAGTTGCCTTGCAAACCCAACTCCGTGTGTGTTCGTTCGCTGTGTGTGAGTGAGTGCAGGGTGTAAAAGGTGTGTATGGAAAAATCCTGGTGAAAAATTTATTATGAAATATTTATTTATTTTTCTAAAAAGTTAAATGCTCAAAGAGTTAATAATGTTGTATGTTAGTTGTTAGTTAACAAAAAAATTTAAATGATTAATTCTTTAAACATGAGTGCATGAGGAGAGTCTACTTCGGCTCTCATAACATTGAAATACGCGCTGCTGTGTGTGAACTTGTAGTAAAAACGTGTCCTGCCTTCGTCAAATCCCCTGAGTGCACAAAAAAGGTGTGGATGGAATGTGAAATGTCTCAAAAGAGACAAGACAGCAAGATTTTTGTTAAATTTTTAATGGAGTTGAAATGAAAGTTTAAACAGTATGCCAATGGAAGAGATTTTTTTTGCAGATATTTGCGATCTGCGAAAAGGAATATAGTTATATTAATTTTTTGACTTAAGGTAATGAGAAAGCGAATGTAAAGAATGCGATATTTAAATTAAGTTGTTGATCCGGAAAAGGGTGTGGAAAAGTGAAGTTTTCCAAAAAGGAAAAAGAGTGGGCAAAGGACAATTACTGTGAATATCAAGTTGATAAAAAAAAATCAGCTGCTTAATTGCAAAATAATTTTTAAATCAACATAAAGATGAGGTGTAAGTGGGAACTCTCACAAAAAATAAGGTATTTAGCTGACTAAATTATGAGGATTTCAATAGGAAAAATTTTGAACTGTTAATGAAAAACCAATAAGATACGATTCTACTCAATGCAGCTCTCTGAACTTATCTTGATGATAATACACAAAAATCCATGATTTTACCCCGTATCCGATGAAAATCCACTATTTTCTCCTAAAAGAATAATCAAATAAATAATCAAAATATTTGTCTAAAAAAGACTTAGCAAAAAAAGCAGACTTTGAAGTTCCCTTTAAAAAAAAATAAATAATAATTTTAAGTAAAACAAATTGACGATTATTATCCAGTACACCTTTTCTTTTAATGACTTCTTTGGGAAGGACTTAACAAATTTTACTGAAAAATCCACTACTTCTCCCGCAAGATGTCCTTCCGTCTGTGGAAATCACACTAGCTTCAGAACGAAATGAAGTAGGTTGATAATATTTTACTTAAATGTATACTATGTCTGCAGGACTTTTAGTATTGAAAATGGTAGGTCCACGTTTTAGTTTAGGCTCCAGTGGTACCTCCCTTTTTTCGGTATTTTGATGATTTTAGCGACATTATTCATCGGAATTGTTTCAAATTTGGTATTTGAAGTTCGTAATGGATACTACAGCCTATGACAGAAAATTGTTATTGCAGGTCAAAGTCTTTGTATAGCCTCCATATAACGGTACCTCCCGATTTTCGTTTTTTTTTTTTTTTTTTGATGATTTTAGCGACATTATTCACCGTCCTTTTTTCAAGTTTCGCATTTGAATATTGTAATGGCTTATGACAAAAGTTGCCTATGCAGGTCCACGTCATCGTATAGACCCTAATATAACGGCCACATTCGGTATTTTTAAGATTTTAACAGAATTTTTAACGGATTTTATTTATTTATTTATTTTTTTTTTTTTGAAAAATGCCAAATTCGTTGCAAATGGAGGAGATTATTCAAAGTTCGACCCGGCCGAAATTACAGCTTTTTTACTTGTAAATCCATAAGTTCTGCTCTAAATTTTTGTTCAATAAATCTGTATTTTGGACCTGGAACTCTGTTGAAGCTGCTCTACAACTTTTCTGGAATGCCTCGAAAATAATATATTCAATAAATCCAACATTTTCCCCTAAGGCTCTAAAAGAATTAAATTCTTAAAATGTCAAGATTTTTCCCGAAAGAGCTTTTTAAAATGTATTTTAAATTCACGATTTTTTTCCCAGAAGAAATTGAAAAAGTATTTAAAATTAATCCACAAATTTACGATTTTCCCCGGAAGCCTTGGCCTTTAAACTTACCGTACTTAAAACGGTACAAAAAGCACTAAAATGTACGAAAAAATTTGAAATGAGAGTGACTGATGGAGTGCAGCATAAATGTACCAAAGGGTTTTGGAAAATTCGAACTTAAAGGTTACAAAAAGTCCTGAAATGGTACTAAACTTCTACAAATGGTACCATTTGGTATTATGAGTTAAAAACCTGAAATTTGGCATGAGGATCAGAGTTAAAAAGTAAGCTAGAAATATTTTACAGTGGTAATCCCAAAAATATTTTAAGAAAATCTTACCTGTGGTAGTCCTTTAAAAAATTCACGAGCACGATTGCTAATATCTGAAAAAAATTGAAAAAGAAAATTCCAGGTTATACAGGTAGTTCCAAAAAAGTAACTAAAATAAATCCACAAATTTACGATTTTCCCCGGAAGCCTTGGGCTTTTGGAAATTCGTACTTAAAACGGTACAAAAAGCACTAAAATGTACTAAACAATTTGGAATGAGAGTGACTGATGGAGGGCAGCATAAATGTACCAAAGGGTTTTTGAAAATTCGAACTTAAATGTTACAAAAAGTCCTGAAATGGTACTAAACTTCTAAAATGGTACCATTTGGTATTATGAGCTAAAACCTGAAATTTGGTATAAGGATCAGAGTTGAAAAGTAAGCTAGAAATATTTTACAGTGGTAATCCCAAAAATATTTTAAGAAAATCTTACCTGTGGTAGTCCTTTAAAAAATTCACGATTGCTCTGCTACTACCTGAAAAAATATTGAAAAAGAAAATTCCAGGTTATACAGGTATTTCCAAAAAAGTATCTTCAGTATATCCACGTTAATATGACAGTCTTAAAATCCAAATAAATAGGCCTTCAAGAAAAATTAGTTGAACACTTCGTCTATGAAGGTCTTTAAAAAGTCCAAAAAAAAGAAGAAAATATTGACCAAAATTTTCACAGGACATCATTGCAATTTGTTATTTTCAAAAATCTTGGCTTCTTGTGAGGGAGGTAGCAAATATGAGAGAAATATGAACCTATATTATTTCTATATCAATTTTTCACACTTGACTTAAATCTGATTAGAATAATAATATATATAGTAAATAAAAATATAGAATCCAAGAAAAATCACAAATTTGAGCCTTGCTGAATTTAAAAAAAAATACCTAATATTTCCAAAAACAAGTATTTTCTAAATTTTAATGCACCCCCTTTCTCCCTTTGGTTTCCCTTGCAGGTCATTACACCACAACGTCATGGTGATGTTTATATTTACAATATACCCCAACAACAGTTGCACCATCAACAACAGCACCAACACCAGCAACACCTATCACAGTCACACTCCCATATCCAACAACAACATCACCAGCAACAGATCTATCAAAATCTTCCTGGGCGCTCACTAAGTCACGAATTCGAAACGTACGACATACCCAAACCGGCAGTACCCGTCAACTACGATACGCCAGTTAATATTAAACGTAACATGGCTCAGTTGTATCCGGCCACCATGAAAGCCTGCTCCACACCGATACAAGAAGAAAACTACGATGTGCCAAGACCACTAAATTCTCTGCATCAGCACACGCTGACGCCGAGCAGTTCGAATTCATCGCTGCTGACCAGTGAAAGTCTGTCGTTGTCATTTTCATCATCGAATCGTTCGTCGCTGGCCAATATGCCGGATTATGATGTCCCGAGAAGTAATCCGTTGCCCGTGAGGGCAGTGTTGCGACAACAGCAGCAGCAGCAGCAGCAGCAACAACAACAGCAGCAAAGACCCTCATCCAGGGCCTCGGTCAATGGTAATTGTTCGACCTATGATTTTCCCATACCCACAAATGGTGGTCAGGACAAAAATGGCCCGGTTCAGGGTGGTGGGGTGGTTGCAACCAAAGAATTACCGCTGGAATTGTCATCGGCATTGGAAACGCTGGCTAAACTGCAGTCGGAGACGACAACGGCAATAACTAGGTGAGTAAGAATGCATTTCGAAATAAAAGTTATCTTAAATCCGTGTTGCGTAGAAAGTTTCTGAAAATATATTTTAAAATATCACGGGAACTGTTACAGTCCCGATAAAGTATTTTCGAAAAATCCCCTATACTCGGATAGTCCCTGAAAAATATTAAAAAAACAGCCCACTGTGAGAGTCCTTGAAAAAAATTAAAAATCAATGCCAATGTCCTTCCTTCGCCCTTACAAATAGTTTTTTTTTAAATTTTGTTGTTGCAAAATTGTCAGGCTTAAACCCTTTATTGTTGTTTTTATAAAAAAACGTTTGTTTATTATTTTTTTAAAATGTCAAAATGGATGACCATAACGATTTTTTAAATCCCTGTTAATATGAATGACCTTAAAAATTTTTTTAAAAAAAATCCACGTGGCCGTAGTCGTCCTAAAAAAAATATTTAAAAAAATCCACGTGGCCGTAGTCGTCCTAAAAAAATATTTTAAAAAATCCACGTGGCCGTAGTCGCCCTAAAAAAATATTTTTTAAAAAATCCACGTTGCTGTGATCGGCCTTTAAAATATTTTTTAAAAAATCCAAGTTGCTGTGGTCGTCTTAAAAATATTTTTAAAAAAATGCAGGTTTCAGCGGTCATCTTAAAAAATATTTTTAAAAAATGCACGTTGCTGTGGTCGTCTTAAAAAAATGATCGCTGCGGTGGTCTTCTTACAAATGTTTTTAAAAAAAATCACGTTACTGCTGTCTTCCTTAAAAATATTTTAAAAAGTCCATGTGGCTGTGGTCGTCCTTAAAACAATTTTTAAAAAATTCACGCCCTTAAAAAATATTTTTAAAAAAAGCTCGTTGCTGTGGTCTTCCTTAAAAATACTTGTAAAAAATCCACGTTTCTGTAGTTGTCTTAAAAAAAATATTTTAATAATTTTACATTGCTGTTGACCTAAAAATAGTTTTTTAAATCCAAGTAGACCAATATGCTCTCGTAGTCTCCAAGAAATATTAAAAAAAAAAACGATCGATAGACGTTAAAATTATCCGAAAAAAAATATTTTTTGACTCGAAAATTGTTTTAAAAAAATATATTTTTCAAACAGCCAAATTATTCGATGTTCTCTATATATTCGAAAAGTTTCGGAAAAATATCTCTTAAAAATGACATATCATAATTTTTTTTATTGATCCAACAATTCTCCTCTTCTCTTCTCCCTTCTCATTCCAGACTTTTGGCTTTTGTCTCTCCCGATTGGCGTAGCCGTGACAAATTCGAACCTGTCCTAATGGAGGTTAAGCTGGCCGCGGTGCGTTTGCGTACCGCTCTCCATGATTTAGCTGAATTCGGTGAAGGAGCTTTGGGTAATGCCTCCAAATCTGAAGATCGCACCTTGGCCCAGAAACTGAAACCCATTATTCGCGCTCTTCGAGATGCCAATAAATTGGTACAGGAATCCTGTGAAGTCCTTGAGGCTAACGGTGGCTGGTCACTGGAGCAGCTGGTGCGTAACGATGACAAAGGCACTTGCAAGTCTCCGGATAGTCTGGATCGCCTAATAGCCTGTGCTCAAACGCTTACCGAAGATGTCCGCTCCACAACGTCCTTTATACAGGGCAATGCTTCGCTGCTATTTAAACGGCAATTGAATGAAACCATTGTCGAGGAATCCTCGGTCATCAATCAAACCACATCGGTGCCACATACGCCCACTGCCAACGATCCTGGAGATCACAGTCAGGCTGATTGGTTGGAGGACTACGATTATGTCTCCTTCGAGTCGAAGGAAGCGGCGGCCAGGAAAAACTCCTCACTACGTGAAAATATCCAAGATAATTTGAAGAATAAATTCGACACCGAACTGAAGGTGGCCGAGAACACAGTGCTCACCATGGCCAACAGCATGTCACCCTCAACGCCCAGCAATGGCAAAAAGCCAGCCCCTGAAATGACCGATAAAGATAAAATGCTGGTACGCTACTATGCCGTACAGATCTCCACCCACATGGGCAATCTAAGGCAGGCCATTGATTCCTTCCTGGAAACTGTGGAGAAAAATCAGCCACCCAAGTTTTTCATTGCCTATGGAAAATTTGTGGTGGTAAGTGCCCATAATCTGGTGACCATTGGCGATATTGTGCATCGCAATGTTTCCAAAATGGATTTGAAGGAAAAGATCCTCAGATGTACCAATAACCTGGCGGAGGCTTTAAAAACCTGTGTCCTTAAATCCAAACAGGCAGCTGCCCATTTTCCCAGCGTCACAGCGGTCCAAGAAATGGTTGATTCCGTGGTGGATATCAGCCATTTGGCTTCGGATTTGAAAACAGTCATGCTACATGCCGTGCAATTGACAACCTAAAGGAAGTCATGTGGAAAAATAGAATCAGGATACCCAAACAAGGCTTCAAAAGTCTTCCATATACATATGAAAAGAAAACAATGTTTTTCTCCCCCCAAGAAAAAAAAAGTGAAGCTTTTTGGCAACGAAGAAAACTAAATCATATAAAAAATTCAAAATCGCACACACACACACAGCCACTGAGAAAGCTGTTGCTAAAAAGCTTTAAAAGCTAGATACCATATTTATGAAACAGAAACCCAGATCATGGCTTTTTGTAAAGAGAAGCTTAAAGATTTAGTATGAAACACTTTGAAGAAAATGAGCTTGGCTAAAGCTTAATGCAACGATTAGTTAGTTTGTCAAAGCTTTGTTGAAGTTTTCTTTATTTTTGTAATATTTTTTTTTTAATTAACTACCAGATAACCAAAGAAATTTGTTTTTAAGAAGAGCAGCATAACAGGCGAAAGCTTTTAGGAAGGTAATCGAAGGAAATAATGAGTAAAATTAAGTTACAACTCTTCTTTGGAAAAAAAAAAACACAAAATTTCATCTGACATGTAACGAGAAACAAAAAAAAAAGTTGTGGAAATTTTGGCCGTTTCTGCACAAAAAGCTTTTCACAATGCTATAGGTTTAAAAGCTTTACAATTCCAAAAAATATATATAATTTGAAATTATAATGTAAAGTTAATGAAAGACAGGTGCCACTATTTTATTTTAAAAAGCTTCCTTTTAGAGAGCTTTTTGCAATACAATAGTCCAAAAGCTTCAAGAATCCAAACTTGATTTCTAAAGCTCCAGTAAAGCATTATGAACCAAACACAAGGATTTTTTGTCATACGATAGCCTAAAATATTTAAGAATCTGGAAATTGTTTTTTAGCATTTTACAATACAATAGCCTTAAGGCTTTAAGAGTCTGGAAATTGGGGAGAGATATGACTGCAACATACCCACTCAATGTGCTTTGAATAAAATCACAATCTCAGTATCGATTTGAATTCTTTATGACAATTAGATGGAGCTCTGCTCTGTTTGCTTGTCCTCCATACAAAAACGTGAGAAATGACTCAGTCTGGCTCAAGCCGCTGTTCTTTCGATTGCCAATCTCACCTGTCGTCTCAATAAAACCCTCCTTGTAGTTTGCTGAAAAAAGGCTTGGGTTTTAGGACAAGTAGATGGCGCTTCGCATCTCACGAAATTGTGCAATAGACAACACTAAATAGTAGATCTTCTAAACCTGGGTGTGCAAGGTCATGATTTAAGTTTGCTTTGGGGCTGTATTTGAGATTTACGACAATTAGATGGCGCCCTGTTCGTTTTGGATTCCATACAAAAAACGAGAGGAGAGAGAGATAGAGGAATGACTGCAGTTTCTGTCGGCCTTTCAGAAAAATCAACCACTAGTACTTGTGATGGCAGACTTAGCTGGTGTCTTGCGTAGCATGCTTCAAGTTTGCTTCAGAGCTGCCAAAAATATTTGAATATTTATGAAAAGTAGATGGCGCTTTCTTAGTTTGGATTTTGTTCCATAGCAACAAGGGAGAAAAGACATAGCTGTCTCTGTCCCTCACAAAAATCAAGCGGTATTTCTAACGTCTTAATAAAGTCATCCTTTTAGTTTGCTGCATAGCGCTAGGGTTTTTTATGACATACAGATGACGACTCATATTAAACGGATTTCTAAAAAAAGCCAAAAGAAATTGGCTGTTCCTTTAAACTTTGGTGTCGATTTTTCTCTTTGTGCGCGTTAATGGGCAAAACATCAGCATTGCCTTATATACATAAGTGATTCATAGATGGCACCATGTGTTCATTATTGTTGATCAGCCGTCAGATTAACACTGTCATTAACTGACCTCAAAACGATTATCTTTTCATGAAAGAATATAGACTGGCAAATTGTTCGATTCAGAGCATTTGAAAATGTTCCAATTTCGTGACAAATAGATGGCGCCTCTTAGTGAACGGATTTGTAACATAGCCAACAAAAATAGTCAAAAATCAATCAAACTTTGGTGTGGAATTTTAGTTTCGTTAGCTTGTGAATGATATTTACCGCTGAAATCTCACTGAACTTTATTAATGAGCAAAAGATCAACATTGCCTTATGTAGATGAGAAATAGATGGCGCTAAATTGATTTTTAATGGACTGGAAAAGTTCCGATTCCGATTTTTATAATCTTCGAGAGGTGTTGAAAGATTTCCATGGCTACCGTTTTTAATTCAGTCACTAGATGTAGTGAATGGCCAAGATTTGAATGCGGCCTAGGATTACTTTCTTCCCTTATGATCCAGTAATTTGGCTGTCTTGCATTTTTGGCCTCTCTCCTTCTGCTTCCCTTCGTCTTCTCTAAATACGCTCAAACGACAGTTTATTTAAATCTTAGTAGATTCTGGCTCTTGCTTTGCTAAAAACGGGACTTTTAACGTGTCATATTGACAAATAGATGGCGTCTTTTGTTGAATGTTTTTCAAAAGGATATTGAAGCCAATCGACTTAATTTCAAACTGTTGGAGAGGTTCGGAATTTTTTAAGTAATTATGATAAATATTTAAAGCTAAGGACGAAAAGAATCTGACTTTAGGTTTGCTTCAAAGTGACAACTATCGTTTTCCGTTGATGACAAATAGATGACGCCTTTGTTTTTGAAATGTTTTCAATGGAAATTAAAGTTCCTCAAGTTAATTTGAGATTGTTGATGAGATTTGGAATATTTTAAAATCGATCCTCACTTTCCGCATGAGTGCCTCTGTTTGAATTACATTGCCAAATTTATTGAGTCCCTATGTCGTAATCCCCGAATGACAAGTAGATGGCGCCGCTTGTCTGCTGGAGAACTATCTGAGCTACATTTTTTGCATTTAATTCCTACATTGTATGGACCCTTGGAAAACATATAATCCTTTGCATTTCTCTGTTTAGACAACATAATTCGAAGCGTTTGATTCATTTCAGAACTGTTTATATCTCTTAGATTTCTCGGCATGTAGATGGCGCCTGTATCTCTTGTTCTATAAAGAAAGAACAGATTTGTTTCTTTTCAAATTACAGAACTCCATTTAATTGTAGAAGATCTATATTGTGAAAATACTACCCATGACTTTGACAAATCAAGAAGCAAATCAGAATTGTTGTAACTTTACGTGGCCAGTAGGTGATTTCAAATTTTTGATATTCCAAGCTTTTTCGTAGACCCTCTTTGGACTATTTCCATCATTTAACCCATCATTTGAATGGAGATTTTCGCCAATTTTTGGCAGGGGTTTTAATTTCGGGTTTTTGTGCACAATGTTCCGTTGTAAAAAAACACTCCTTAATTTATTCAAAAATTTCCCTCAATTTTTTTTTCTTGGTTTCTCGTTACAATTATAAAATAACAACAAGCTAAAATAACTAAAATATACATATAGTCTGAAATCAGCGTATCGTTCCTTACAAAATACAAAAACACATATACATATATGTATGCATACAATACAAAATTATATATCAAAAAAAAAACTAACAATAACGATTGTCTATTTTATTAGCTGTAATTGTTTCTCTCCCCCCCTCTCTCCCAAAAATTGATCTGTTAACTTTTTAATTATTTTTGTAAATGTTATTAATTTTTAAGGCAACACAAAAAAGAAAAAGGAATTGATTCATGATAGACACACACTCACACCAAAACGTGAAAGGCCAGATAAAGTAGGGAAACACAGTCCCCTAAGATTTTTTACCCTCTTCATATAGTTCCCTGCTAGAAATATAGTCCAGTTATTAATTAGTCCCTGTAAATATTATTTATATTTATTATTTTTATTTTTTTGTAATTTCCAATTTGTAAATAGTTCATTAGGTCCTTTTGTATTTCGTAATTATTTTTTTATTTTCCCATTTCCTTCAACCTCTCACGAAAAAATATGTATTTCTCTTTTTTTTAATAAATAAAAAATAATATCTTAATCAGAAAAAAACAGAAGGTATTTTTATTTACCTGAAAATAAAAACCAACCCACAAAAGTACTTAGCAAGAAATAAGGCATAAAATAAATAGAAAAACAAAACATACAACAAATCCAAATGAGAATTAATTATAAGTTCTTACTTTGTATACAAAAAAAAAAAACAACAAACAAAAAAACAGTAAAAACTAACTAACTAACATTTAAGTTAAGCCAATTAATGTGAATTCGTTTGGATTAAGGCAATAGCAACAAAGAAAACAAGTCTTAAAGATTTTTTTCTTTGCCATTTTTCTGTAATACAGCAAACAACAACAGCAAAAACTATAAATATAATATAATTAATATTAATAATAGTTATTGAAACGAAAAAAAAAAAAACAAAATAAATAAGTCATTTGTTTGTAGGTCTTATCTATAATAATTATATACCTAAAATATAAATATATATTTTCATTGTATATTTTATTCATATTGCATGCTGCACATATGCATCTAAAATTTGAAAACCGAAATATCTTTCAGAATTTTTTGCTAAAAAAAATATCCAAAAATATTGCAAATAAATCGTAAATCGTAAAGTATATTACAATTAAGAATAAAACAAATATGAAATAAAGCATACCCATGTAGAGGAATATTATTACAAAAAAAAATGTTTTTTCTTTTATTGAAGAATGGCAATTTGAATAGCGAAGGTAAGGCGTATAACAATCGAAAATCTGAATATGGATTTCGACAAACTCTTTGCTGCATAGATTCGTGTGGTGCTGTTATATGGGACTTACCTGGGACCTAGACCCGAGAGACTTAAAGACTGAGGTTTTACAGTTTCGACAAAATTCGCCCTCGCATTATTATTATTAACACTGTACAGGGTGAGCTGAAAACAAGTGAAAAAGCTGTAAGTTCGGCCGGGCCGAACTTTTAATACCCTCCACCATTTGGTACGAATTTGGCAATTTCCAAAAAATAAAATCCGTTAAAAATTCTGTTAAAATCTTAAGAATACCGAGTGCTTATACGACGACGTGGGCCTGCATCGGCATATTTTGTCATAAGTAGTTACAATAATTTAAATGTGAAACTTGAAGAAAAATCTGTTTATAATGTAGTTAAAATCATTAAAATACCGAATATGGGGGGGTACCGTTATATGGGGCTATTCGAAAACGTGGACCTGCACAGACAATTTTCTGGCATGGGCTGAAGTATCCATTACGAACTTCACATGCGAAATTTGAAACAATAAATAATGTCCCTAAAATCATCAAAATACCGAATATCGGGGGTACGGTATATGGGGCTATATGAAGATGTGGACCTGCACAGAAAATTTTCTGTCTTAGGCCGTAGTATCCATTACGAACTTCAAATACCAAATTTGGAACGATTTCGCTAAATAATGTCGCTTAAATCATCAAAATACCGAAAATCGGGGGGTACCCTTATATGGGGGCTATACGAAGACGTGGACCTACATGGCTCATTTTTTGACTTAGGATTTAGTATCCATTACAAACTTCAAATACCAAATTTGAAACGATTCCGGTAAACAAAGTCGCTAAAATCATTAAAATCCCGAATATCGGGGGGTACCGTTATATGGGGACTATATGAAGACGTGAACCTACATGGATCATTTTTTGACTTACGATGTAGTATCCATTACGAACTTCAAATGCCAAATTTGAAACTATTCCGATGAATAATGTCGCTAAAATCATCAAAATACCGAATATCAGGAGGTACCATTATATGGGGGCTATATGATAACTTGGACCATGTTCGAACTTAACCTGCCTACTGGCAAAATATACATCTGTGCAAAATTTTAGCCTTCTATCTCAATTTGTTCGAAAGATAGCGTGATTTCAACTGACAGACGGACAGACACACAGACAGACAGACAGACAGACAGACGGACATGGCTAAATCGTCTTAAAATTTTACGCTGATCAAGAATATATATACTTTGTTGGGTCTGACATGAGTATTTCGAGGAGTTACAAACGGAATGACAAAATGAATATACCCTCCATAGTATGGTGGAGGGTATAAAAAAGCGGCAACCAACTTCAGACTGCTGTCATTTCTAAGCCACTCATCCGACAGCTGTTAAAATTATTTCAGTGACAGTTCATTATATTGCTTACAAGCGCACAAAAGCATTTTAGTGAGAATTTTCCAGAAAAAAAGTTATTCGTGATGCAATTCAAGCGTGATAATGTGACTTCTTTACAGGGTTGCCCATATTCGACGGACCCATCTGGCAACGCCATAACTTTTGACAGAGATGTCACATCGCTTAATGACATACCGCGTTTGAAGCGTCAGTCCAAGCAAATTTTTACCATGAACCAATACACGGCACGCGAGCGCTCTGAAATAGTTGAAATTTACAAGAAGTCAATTGTGAAAACTTAACGTGCTTTTAAAACATTAAAAAATGTGAGAAGTGCGCCTTCTAAGAACACCATTAAGCATTTATACGAAAAATTTTCGACTGGTAAGGCTCTTTCTAATCCCAAGAGGCCATATAAAAGTCGACCAAGGCGATCGGCCGAGAATATCGTTGCCGTACGAGCCAGTGTTGAGAGGTCCCCAAGAACATCCCAAAAACGCCATTCTCAGCAGTTGGGCATGGCTCGGTCCACTTTACAACGGATTATTCGCATTGATTTGCATTTGTTCCCGTACAAAATTCAATTGACGCAAAGAATGTTGCCTGCGGACAAGCGTCGTCGATTGGAATGGGCCCAAAGATCCGTCGAATATGGGCAACCCTATATTTGGCTGGAAATCCGCAAGTGGTTATCATTAGAGCACTCCAGCATTTAAATTTGATTAAATCTTTTGTGTTTAGTACCATCGCTCGTTACCGTGCTACTGGTAGCGTAGCCCGATGTCAATGGGGGTGGACGGAAGAAAACAGCAACATCAGCAGAAATGGTTCGAAAAGTAAAGAAGCGACTTGATCGAAACCCGCGTCGCAGTGTCCGAAAAATGGCTCATGCGCTGAACATATCACAATATTACATTAGGCAAATATTGAAAAATAAGCTCGGGGTAAAGCCATCGAAATTTCAAAAAGTGCAAGAACTTACACCGCAACAGAAAAAAATAGACTCAAAAGAGCTAAAAAGATGCTTCGCTTTGCCGAAAAAGTTGAACTACCGAATTTGGTTTTCTCCGATGAGAAAACATTCGTTGTCCAGTAGTTTGTAAAGAAACAAAATGATCGTGTTTACTTGCCAAGAGGTCAGCTGAAAATGTGCACCTTCGGTTGGCCACCAGAACTCAAGCGCCGGCCATGGCGATAATGTGGCAACCATAACAGCCGATGGCCGCTCTCCGCTCGTATTAATCGACCGTGGCATCAGAATAAATGCCGAATATTATCGCGAAAATACTCTGGAAGGTGTATTAAAGCCTTGGGCACGCAAACATTTTGGCCGCAGACCTCGGACATCTAAAAGGACTCAGCACCATCGCACTCAGCACGCGCCATCCAAGAATGGTTGCAAAATGAGGTTTCTCGCTTCATTTCCCGCCCATAATGGTCAACATAATCTCTGGACACCAATCCGTTGGACTATTTTATATGGAGTATTTTGGAAAGCAAGGTTGGCACTAAAAGATACCAAAGTGTCGATCACCTCAAGCAAACGTTTGAATACAGCAGAACAACATTCAGGCAGCGTGTGACGGTTTCATTGGCCATTTAAGGGCATTATTCGTGCCAAAGGTGATTAATTCGAAGAAATCTAAAGTTATTCTAAAATTTGATGCTATTTCCGACCTTTTTTTGCCTTTATTCAATAAAATTTAAAAAACAAATGTAAAAATGCATATTACGGCTGCGGAGGACAAAAATAACAAATCAGATGAACAATATATATCGGAATGGATTTCAATCAAATTTGGCAACCTATTTTTAGGCCTAATTTGGTAGTATGTGGAAAATTCCATACTGTTTGGGCTGATATTACACGTTTGGTGCAAAAAATAGGGCAAATCGGACGAATATATATGTATGGGAGCTATAGCTTTAACTGAATCAATTTCAATGGGTTGGACAATAAATGCGACCTGCACTTTGTTTACAGAGGCACGGACGGACAGACGAACATGCATAAATCGACTCAGAATGCAATTTTAAGCAGATCATCAAGAGGAACCATGTATCTATCTCATTTCCTTTTGCCTCTTACAAACAAATGCACAAAGACATAATACCCTGACCACAAGAAAAATCAAAGTTTTTATACCCTACACCACAAGGGTATTATATCTTTGTGCATTTGTTTGTAACAGGCAAAAGGAAACGAGATAGACCCATAGTTCCTTTTGATGATCTGCATAGAATCACTTTCTGAGTTGATTTATGCATGTAAGTCCGTCTGTCCGTCTGTCCATGCATTCTTGTGAACAAAATGCAGGTCGCATTTATTATCCGATTGAGATGAAACTTTGCAAACAACATTTGTTTGGCCCAAGGACGAACCCTATTGAAATTGGAGATAATCGGTAAAAATTTAGATATAGCTCCCATATATATCTTCGTCCGATTTGCCTTTTATTGTGCACCAAACGTGTAATATCAGCCCGAATAGTATGGAATTTTGCACATACAACCAAATTAGGCCTGAAAATAAGTGCCGAAATCGGTTCAGATATAGCTATAGCTCCCATATATATTGTTCATCCGATTTGTTATTTTTGTCCTCCGCAGCCGTAATATGCACTCTGTAACAACAATATTTAGGGAAATATATCAAATGCAGCTCAGAAATACATTTGCTAAATTTTATCGGGATCGGTTCAGATTTGGATATAGCTCCCATATATAACTTCGTCCGATTTACCATTTATTGTGCACCAAACGTCTAATATTTGTCCAAATGGGATGGAATTCGGCACATACGACCGAATTTAGTCTAGAAGGTAGTATGCCAAATTTGGTGAAGATCGGTTCAGATATAGCTATAGCTCCCATATATGTTGTTCATCCGATTTGTTGTATTTGTTACCCACAGCCGTTATATGCACTCCGTAACAACGATATTCAGGGAAATATATCAAATACAGCTCAAAAATATCTTTGCCAAATTTTATCGAGATCGGTTCAGATTTGGATATAGTTCCCATATATATCTTTATCTGATTTCAAATTAATTTTGCACCAAATTGGCAATACAAGTCCGAATTTAAAAGATACAAATGCTTCGGCATATTTAGTCCTTTGAATTTTAAATTATAATTATAATTATAGGGTGTATGATTAAATTCTCCCATAAAAACTTTTAATTGTTAT